CTGCCTGCCATTGGTGATTTATCCCTGCTCTGCCTGCAGCCAGGCAGGCCCTCTGCTTGGATCCTGCAGGCAGAGGGATGGCAGAGCTCCTCTCAGCAGCTGCCTGATCCAGCCACTTGGCTTTAAAAGCTTTTTATCTTTCTTTTTCCTCTTTGTAAGCAGTCTGCCAAGGCTGAGCCATAAAAAGTGCACGAACCACTGGTGTGGGATACATCAGACAAGCCTCTTTTGGATGCCACAGTGTCCAACAGGATGGGCCAAGGACAGCCCTTCAGGACAATTTCCTCCCTGCTCTTTGAAGCTCCCCACAGCTGCAATGAACCCTCAGCCCAGGCACATTATGCCATGGCTCCATCAGGGACTCCTATTCAGAGATGAAAATCTCTGCTGGGACAAAAGCACTGTCTGTTTAGCACTGGGAGCTGCTGACCTTCTTCTGGCTGTACCCAAGCTACCACAGATGACACTGGCTGGGGAAGGAGCCCTCCAAGCAGAAGCCATGGCTCCTTCCCTGGAAGTGGAGTGCCAGCCCATTCCCTGTGCCAGAGACGGAGTGTGAGGGGCTGGCTGCATCCTCCTTCTCTGGGGCTTAAGACCATGATCACCAGCACCCCTCCAGCCCATGCTGCAGACCTGGATGTTGCTCAAGCTGAATCAGCTCATGTGACAGGCAGTTCCAGATCAGACCAGCTACAACTTTGCAGCAAAACAAGCACAAGCTCCTCCGTGGCAGGATGCTGAAGCCTTCCTCCCCTGCTGCCTTCAGCTCCTTCTTCCCTGCCCGGCCGTGCTGGCTGACCATTCCCCTAAGGTACCCCCAGCAAACAGCCTTGCTCCTGGAGAGCTGGGAACCAGCAGTGCCACATGCAAGGCTCATACATGGGTGTCCATTGCCTGCCTGCCTGCCTGCCACCGGGTCTCTGCCTTAGGGGCCCTGCTCCCCTTGTGTGTGCGGGAAGGACGGGATGGAGAGGCCCCCGGGGCGCAGGGTGCTGAGCTAAGGGCCAGCAGGGGAAAAGGGGGACATGGGAAGGGCCACCCTGGGGCTCTCTGACCGGCCTCGGCAGGGAAGGGGCCCGAGGGATGGCGGGGGGTCGGAGTCGCGCTCTCCCGGAGGCGCCGCTCCTGGGGCGGATGGGGGCTGCCTCCGGCCGCCGCTCACCTCGGGCTTGGCCCGGTTCTGCAGGAGGTGCTCCAGGTAGAGGTCGGACAGCGCGGTCCGCATGCTGCCGGCGCTGGCGCTGCGCCCCGACTTGAGGGTCATCCCGCCGCCGCTCCGCCGCCGCTGCCGCTCCGCCACCGCCGCCAGCAGCTGCAGCCGGTTCCGCTGGCTCCAGCAGAGCGGCCCGGCCACGGCCCCGGCTCCGGCTGCAGCAGCGCCGCGGGCTCCCCGCACGCTCCGCCCGTGTGGCAGCGGGGGAAGGCCGGCGGGCGGAGCCAGCGGAGGGGCAGGACCAGAGCCGGCCCCGCGGGCAGCGCCGCCGCGTGGTGCCGCGTCCCGCCCGGGTGGGTGCCCAGCGGCCCTTGGTGGGGATGGAGCGGAGGGGATGGGGCTCGGCGTCCTCGCACCGCCAGCAGCAGCTCAGAGCATCGCCTGGCTGCCGCCATGGGGTCTCTTCTCCCCATCGTGTCTCTGTTGCTAACAGCTCCTGGGTCGTGCCTGCCCCGGGATGTGCCCAAGCACAGACAAGCCTGGATGCTCATGGAAGCCTGCGTCCCTAGCAACAGCTCCTGCGGTTGCCAAAATCACCGCAGGAGGCTGGGTCTGAGGCAGGCTTCATGCCCTCACAGTCAGGGCAGAGGTCCAGCAATGACATGGGGAGCACGCCTCCAAAGCAGTGTTGGTGCACAGAGGGCTCTCACAAGCTGATGGTCATCCCTGGGCCCTGCGGGTATGCTGAGAGGGATGTGCTGTGCTCTGGGGTGCCTCCAAGGTGAGGAGATCCAGGGACTTCTTCTAAGAAACTGGGTCTTGCAGCAGAACTCGCTACTGGGGAGAGCAGAGAGACACAGGGAAGCCTCTTTTTTCTTGTCTCTGACATGCAGAGCAGCTCAAGCTGGATGACTCCAAAGAGGGACCCCAAACAGAGAAATCCCTGGGCAATTACACCCTCACAGTCAAAGCTCCTCACCCTTTCTTCATGCAACAGTTCTGACCAGTAGTTAATATGACTATTTTTATATTAATTATACGGTAACTAATATGACCATTACCTAAATCCTAATAGTTTTGGGGTCTTCCTGTTCTTCACTGGGTCCCTTCATTGTCTCTGTTTTTTCTTTTCTTCTAGGTTGTTTTTTTTTTCCTCTTATCTCTAAGGTTGCTGTGTCAGCTGACAATGGCAGCAGCCTTCCTTTGCTTCCTTATCTTCCAGTCTGAACCAGCTCTGGGTCCTTCTTTTACACAACTAGGTAAAAGTTCAGTGTACCGGGATGAAAGTCCACAGCTTGCAGCCTAAGGCTTTGGCAAATTTAGCTACTAAAGCTAAGCAAGTTATGCTAAGCAAATTCTGTATAAGTAGCATACATATTTATGGAGCATCCTCAGCCAGGGGCTGAGGCAACCTGGGAGGAGAGCAAGCCTGGCCTCTCCTGAAGAGAGCGGGTTGTTGGGGAAGAGTATGGACATACAGTAGGATTGTGGGGCATGGCTTTGAAACATGCTGCCCTGAGCACATCCTGAGCACAGCCGCCGTGGCTCCAGGCTCCTCCTGCACCCACAGGCTAGAAGCATGCTGGTAACAACGTGGGGTAGGAGGCAAGAGATATGGAGAGCAGATAGAAGCCCTGGAATTAATTGTGGAATATGTTGTAGGAGTGAGAAATGTGACAAGAGACACCTGACAGACAGGAAAGGGAAGTCCAAGTCTGTTCATTCCCTCTTGGTTACGCACAGGGAAACCAAGGCGGAGGAGGCGGTGAGCAGCTTGGTCCTAGTGCCATGGCTGAAGTGGGAATCCGGCTGCGCTTGCCCAGGTTCACTCCCTGTTGGCCGTGGTCCCTGCTCAGGTATTCTCTTCAGCATTCTGCTGCCTGTTTTGGTTATGTGCTGGCAACTTCTTCTGAGAATAGTGCCCATCTTCCCAGCTACAATACCTCCATATATCCCCCACGTCTGGCTCACACAGGGGCTCTCCATCCAGCATGGGAGAAGCCGGATTCAGAAACAGCCCTGACTCACATGACAGGGCTCTTTGGTGAATAAGCAGGAGCATCCCCTGTCTGAAAGGCAGAGGGCTTTGTGCTGGTCAAGCCTCCCCCTGCACAGAAACGTCCGTGACTGGGGAAACTATGATGCATCTCAGATCTACATTGCGTGGGGAGGAAACAGCGTCTGGTCTCCATTCCCCACAAATGTCAAGAGATGCTTCCTCTAATGGATGCTGGAGCTTGGCAAGCTCTGACACATCTGCGTGCCTGCCCACAGCCCCTTCCCAGTGCTCTCCCTCAGCGTAGCTCCCACACTGCTTCCTGAGCGGCTGGAGAACATCCTGGAGCTGCTCGGGGCTGGCTGGTGAAGGCTGCTCAGTCGCCTGCAGAGATTTCAGCCGTGTTTCCGCTTTGAAAATAACACAGAGGGAGCTCTGGTGCACGCAGCTTTTGCTCTGATCTAACCCTGTGTCACCAGACAAATGTGCCACAACACAGCAGCCTGTTTCTGCAGGCAGGAAGAGTCTGAGCATCCACTAGCAAAGGCAGGGCCCATATCCCTGCTTCACCAAGCAGAGCTGGGTACCAGCCCTGAGAGACAAGGCAGCCGGGACCATACAGAGCAGCCAGTCCTGTGGGACTGATTACACCTGCATCTGAGCCAGCTCCTGCAGGGGGGCTTCTGGTCCTCACCAATTTTGTCTTGGAAAGATGCTCTGCTCTTGGTCAATCCCCATCAGTCCCTCACTCTGATGGGTATTTAAGCATCAGGAGGTCAGGCTCAGCCTGGCCTGCAGAGGTAGCCATGGGAAGAGCGTGCAGGTATCTGCCCTTGTCCAGGGGACTGAGCCAGTTACTGAGTGTGTGTGTCTCTGCCTACAGTCCAGCTGCTGTTTGGGGTTGAGCTGATGTCTCTGCCCTGTTTTCTCTGCCATCAGGCCCTTCACCATGCCTGGGATACTCCCCTGCACTGGTGGACCAGAGACTGCAGCCAGCTGTCCTTGTGCAGCATTGGCCACTGCGCTCAGAAGAGATGCAGTTGCCTTGGAGCTGAGGAAGTTTGCCTTGAGAAGGGCTCAAGGTGGCAGGTTTGGTCCTCCGAGGCTGAAGGCTATCCTGCCTCAGGCAGGGCTGCTCCCCTTTGAGAAGCTTAGGGCTCCAATTCCTCTCCTCAGGCCAGCACTTACCTGTGCCTGGTTATTGTCAGGATGCAATCAAGCCAAAGGGTGATTGCATCTGCTGCTGGGGCTGTAATGTAATCACAGCCAGGACCACAGCAAAGGCTCATTGTGCAGCAATGTGGAGCCCAACAATTGCATGAAACTTTTTTGGCGGTGCTTTATTTGAGACACCAGCTTCTGACCTCTGCTGGGTGTGGGTTCCAGGACAGCTCACACCACTGGGCTGATCTGCAGCTCACCTCCCTGGTCCCTACCACAACCATCCCCTGGTGCTTCCAGCAGAGCTCTCCTCAGAGCTGCTCCATGCTGCCCCTCTTACAGGTATGAGCAGAGAATACCCGACTCTTGCTTAAGAAGCCACAACAGCATGAGCATTTGGGAAGGAGATGAAGGGACGTGGAGATCCAAAGCCCAGTATTGAGTCAGGTTGAGCAAATGCTGCCTCCCTGGAGCCACTGATCCCCACTGATTGTGGAATGGACTCTGGGGCTTCCTCCCCCAGCCTTTATCTTTGCTGCTTATTCCTCCTCCAGGACTGTGCCCGGGCAGTGGGTGCTTGTGCAAAACAAAGCTGAGAAGCTCTGGGGCTAATTAATTACTCACTGCTGGTGATGCTGACTGGGCCCTTGGAGACTCCAAGGCTGAAGCAGGGGAGCAAGTGCAGAGAGATACTGGAAAATTACTGTTTAATTCTTCAGCTTTACACTGGAAAATTACTGTTTAATTCTTCAGCATTGCGTCTGACTATGTGGCATCTGGTAGATAAGGGCCAGGAAGATGCTGATAACAAGCCAGCGTCTGTGACAGCTCTGCAGGCCTTCTATTCCCCAGCAGCAGGGATGGTCAGAGCCCCGGGGGGCTGGCTCAAGCCCTGGTGAGAGTCCAGTGTCTGGTTGGATGTGGGTCCTGAGGCTGGCGCTGCCCATGCCTGGTCCTGCAGCCATCAGTACTCCTGCTGAGTGTCGCAGCCGAGGAACTCTATCCGCAGGGCAATGTGGTTGTGCCACTGGCGCGGGTGTATTCTCACATAGCGAGCAAAGAGCGGGGGCTCCAGGGTGCTCGTCACTGTGCTGGTGTGGTCTTGGTTTGCCTTGAAAATCTGGAGAGGAGAGAGAAATCAGGGGTGCGCTCTCCTGCGCTGGTGCGGTGAGCTCATGGCTTGAGGACACAACGCAGACAAGCATTGGGAATACTTTAAGGGAGGGAAAAGCACAGCCTAGATCACTGCTGTTGCAAAAGCTCCTGTAAGCATGTGTGCCCTGGGGGTGCCACGGGCTGCCTTTGGCCACAGAGCAGCTCTGCCTACCTTCTCCTTGACACCCTGCAGGACTGGGGTCCAGTGCACACCATTCTGGCTGGTGGAGACAGCAAACTCTGTCACGAACATGTGGGTGAAGAGAGCTTTGGCACCTTGGGTCACGATTGCAGTCACCTTCTTGGTTACTTCAAAGTCCACTTGCAACCACTCACTGGGGCTGTCGCTCTGGGGAAGGACAGGAGTCACCTTTCAACCCTTCAGCGGCAATGGGAAAGACATTCACCTGCCCTACCAGGCATGTGGAGATGCTGGGTGCTAAATCAGTGAGGTGACTCTCCTGCCTGTGTGCCTGCACGGTGCATGTGGCTGCACATGCTCCCCACACAGCCCTTGGCTAGGAGAGGTCGCAAGCACCCAGCCTGCCTGCCCATGCCCCAGATACCTGCCTGGGGATCACCTTGCATGGGCTACCTTTGGCCTCCATGCGTTGGTCCTCCCCTGCATGTTCAGGCGGGCCCGGGAGGGTGACCAGCTGGAGAAGATGTTGCTGCTGTAGGAGGATGCGGAGATGCGCTGGTCAGGGATCCCTCTGTCCTCCATCCCTAGGGGCATGGAGCAGCCTGGAAGAGAGGAGCGATGCTTCTCAGAGGTGGGAAGAGACCTATCATGGAGGTGCCTTCTGACTGCTCACTGCTTCAGCCACCCTGAATGCAGAGGCAAAGCCGATAGCATCTGTCTCTGCTTGATCCCTGCTCCCCCAGCCTGAGGCAGCAGCTCCTCAGATATCAGCTTAGCTGCTGCTGTAGGGTTTTGGTTGTTCAGGAAAAGGTGGTGGTGAGACCTGGCCCCATGCTCTCCCTCTGCTATTGCTATTTCTAAGACCATAATGAGATGCTCCAGCTTTGTTTTCCCAACATTTCAATCCCATCTCCAGCCTCCTCCTTCCCTCTCCACAACTGCCTGGGGAGTCCTGAAATGTGTGGAGCTGGTGCTTGGCACCCCGCTGGATCAGACCCCTCCTTGGGTGCGTGGTTTGGAGGTGGGACATACTGTTCAAATCACAGCCAATGAGCTCCATGCGCATTGTGGTCCGGATGCTGTAGTGAGTGGGGTTAATGCGGATGTACCGGGCTATGATGGGAGGGTTGAAGCGATTTTCTTTCACTCCAGTTGCATCCACATTTGCAAAGAACAGCTGCAGGGAAGGGGAGAAAAAAGGATTGTTGCACCAGTGGAAAGAGAGCAGGGATCAGTGGGCACAATAACATTTCTGTCTGGCACTGCTGTGTCTTATCACCATCCTCACAAAAGAGTGTCAGCCCAAGGAAATGATCTGAGATGTGACTCAGACCAAAGAAGTGTGAATGGGCAAATCAGGGTGAACCGCTGAGAAACAGGAGGAGGTTTCTCTAAATGAACACCTCTTTATAATTTCACCAAACAGAGAGGAGAAAAAGAACCTGGGAACAGTTTTGGCCACTGCTGGTGTTTGTGATGGGGGCTGTTTCCTTCTCCTCCTGGCATGATCAGCTTATGCATATTTAAGCTGTGGCTTTTTCTAATGAGTAGAGATCCCCCAAATCATCTGCACCTGCACAATGGTTTTAGAAAGCCAGATTTGTCTTTGGAGGTAAAAAAACCCCAGATATTCAGGTAAAATCTTATGCCAAGCTCTGAGTAACATGCAACACAACGTGAACGGGTGGGTTTTACAGCCACCTGGGACTGTAGACAGAAATAGTTTGGTCAATTTAACATGAGACAGAAAGACATTGACAGCAAGTCCCTTGCAGATCTGTGATCTGTGATTCAGTCATCCTGGCAGTGAATGCTCAAGGTCTCTGCCTCGTGTACAGAGCTCCATAGCCCTCATCACCCCAAAAGGCCCCATTCTGGGATGACACTCTCCTCAAGACCTGTCCATCTTACCATCTGGCTGCTGGTGGTATTCCCCTTGTATTTCTTCCACCTTTGCCTATCAAAGCTGTAGAACACAACAAACTGGGAGATGTAAAGGCTTGAGAACTTCTGTCGGGCTCCTTGGGTTTTTATGCCATGAATAATCATGAGACGCAAAAGGTCCACCTGAGAACGAAAGTCAAGGACTCACTTCTGGTGGAAAACCCAAGCCACGTTCAGGCAATGCACTGTAAACCTGTGGAACTCATTTCCTCATCATATAAACGAGCACAGGTTACAAAACTATTTAATACAGTTGTTCAGAAGGACCCAAGTCAGCCAGCAGCTGGGAGAGGTCGGGGGTGAGTTGTTTGGAGAGGTGAGCTGTTCTGACTGTCTTTGTGGGGGTGTTGCACAATCAGATGTTGTAGCTGGACCATCAAGATTCCTCTGCTGCACTGAGGATGGATCATCAGCCACAAACACGCTGTTGCAATGCTCTCAGCAGTGCCTCCAGCAACAGGGCCCCTCTTACCTGGATCCAGGCGTTGTTGCGGTCTGTGCTCCAAGCATTGATGGAGCCGGTGTTATCCAGCCTGGCCAGGTAAGGAGCCCACTGCCCTGCAAGGAAAGCATGAAGATATGAGGATGCTGCTGGCTCCTGGTGCTGCCCAACCCAAGGCAGTGACAAGTACCTCTGTGGGATGGGGCTGGAGGATCACCCTAGAGTTTAATAGCCACATACAGGGTGGCAGAGCACCGGTATGATGGGCCAGACATGTGGGAAGGCACCTCCGTGTCCCAGCTGGGATGCCGACGTGGGCATGGATGGAGGAAGGACTCTGCCAGGGTCTGGTGCAACAGAGCCTTGGGCAGGCAAGCAAATGAGTTGTTTTGTCTAAGGCCGCCCCAACCTCACCTGCAACAACCTGTACTCACCGTACTGCCCCGATGCTGTGATCTGGGAGTCGGCAATGTGGCCCGAGGCCAGCCCGAGGGCGTTTTGGCAGTCTGCAGCCACACGGGGAGAAGGAGGGCAAAACACAGGGACAGCTGATTAGATAACAAGGCTTTTGAAGGAAAAGCCTAGGCTGGCAGCAGCCTCCAGGCTCAGGGAGCAGTCTCAAACCCCAGGAGCCCTCAGGCTTGTTTGTCTCACACTAAGCAGTGTTTCAGATGCATCCACATCCATCCCTGAATGTTAAGGGTGCTGGAAGTTCTTGCTCTCGACCCTGACATGTCAGCAGCAGAGAGTTCTTATCATCAGCCACACTCCTGGCCCCGAGTCCCTGACCTCTCCCTCCCGTGTCCCAATCTCCCAGCAGTGCTGACAAGTGTCTCTTCCTTATACCCATGTCTTGCTCCTGGGCTTTTTTGTTGCTAGGCAGCATCTTTTAGCAATAAATACCACATCAGTAAAGGAGAGCCTGCCTGACACCCCTGTCTCTCTTCTGGTCTGTGAGCACAGGGCTGTTTGTCTGTTATCATAACCATTATTGTTAGTGACTTGTCACATCTTGGCCTGTCTGCTGCATGGCAAATGCTTCTGGGGAAAATGTGAGTGTGAAATCTTGAGCAAGTTTTTTACTTATGGAAACATTTTCTGGGTGATTTTTAATGCTCCTTTGGGAAGAGGAGAGAAGCTTTCATAGTGTGACCGGGTATCATAGAATCATAGGATGGTTTGGGTTGGAAGGGACCTTAAAGATCATGTAGTGCCATGCCTCCTGCCATGGGCAGGGACACCTTCCACTAGAGCAGGTTGCTCCAAGCCCCATCCAACCTAGCCTTGAACACTGCCAGGGAGTGATAAAATGCTACTCTCACAAATCACTTCCCCCAGTGCTTACTTACAGCGAGGTAGAAATGTGTTGCTTTGGGGTGGAGTCAGAGGTTCCCTATGGATTTTGCAGTTGCTCTTTGGGCTGTTTCCATGTGAGCAGTCAGGCAGTGCTGCCCGCTGCCTCCTGACATCACTTCGTGCCTCAGTTTACCTCCTGACGTGGTTAGGCAGGTGGGCACTGTACTTCCCCAACAGCATGAGCAGGCACCAGCGTGTGCATGCAGTTGTTGGGTAAATGCATTTTATAGGAGGTCCAGGGACCCTCAATTGTGGAAAATGAGAGCTCTGTGAGCATGTATTTGCAGGCAAATGAAGCTGTTCTCCCAGCCTTCACCCCAGCTGTGTCCCTAACTCTGCGCTGTGCAGGGTGACCAGAGCTGAAGTAATGACTTCCTTTAGGAGTGAAAACCCAGAAGACCCCACTTGGGTCACCCCAGGGGAGATGCTGAAAGACCTGGGGCAGAGAACTCAAAGCCTTGCTGGCCATGGCCAGGGCACAAAGAGGATCAATCACTCACTCAGGTTGTACACAAGGAAGAGAGCACTCATCCCGGCTTGCTGGTGCTCTCCCAGTTTGCACTCTACTCGCCAGATCCCAGCATGTGAAGGCCACATCTCCACTGTCCCGAAGACACCTGGTCAGGAATGGAGAGCAGAGCAGAGCGGAGTTACTGGCTGTAATGGGATACCACAGTGCCAAGTGCTATTTAAATACTGATTTCAGATCCATTCCCCCTCTTTGCTGCTCCTCCCCAAAAGCTTGGCACTTCCTAACAGGCATTGACATAAAGCCACAGCAGCAGGAGCATGCATAGTGCCCGCACTGCCTCTCACCCGGATAAAGGTTGTAGACTCCCATGCGATACTCCTGGCTAGTCCTGACGCTGAACAGCTGCCCATGGAAGTGAATGGAGTGGATATCCTCAGTGCTGCCCATGTTCAGGAGGTGCCATCGGACCCGTTGCTGCTGAGCCATCACCAGCCCGGGCAGTGTGTCGCTTACATAGCCATTGATGGCTGGGAAAGTCAGTGGTCAGGAGCAGCTCAAGGCTTCAGGGGGTTTCCATCCCAGTATAGACCGTGGGATGGGAAGCGCAAGGGCAAGCGTCCTCACCATGGAAAGAATGGTTCCTCTTAAAGCTGGGGTCGTCCTGCTGGACGTAGCAGGGAGGGCGGCAGTTCCTCTCCATGTTCTCCAGGAAGTACCAGCTTTTGGTCTCGTCAAAGATGGTGAAGAGCAGGGAGAACTCCTGCACAGCCAGCTGCCGCCTGAAAACGAAGCTCAGCACCCCACGGCGGCAGATGATCAGTGGCCCAATGAGCCCCGAGTGCAGGTCCTTCTCCTGCCGGCGAGCAGGGAGAAAAGGGTTTGCCTCGGAAGGGAAGGGTGCTCTGACACCCGCAAACAGATCAGCAGGGAGGGAAGTGGTGACTCTGTCTGCATGCCTGGCCCGGCTCCCACTCCTGCATAGGGCATGGTCCATGCAGGGTGGGAAGGACATGCTGGGGTCACTGGGGGATCCCCACTCTGCCCCAGGCTAACAGAGGGGTGCTGGAAGTGTTTGCATGTACTGTCAAGAGAAGTGGTGTCTGTCTGTCCAACTGTCCAACAGTCTTTACCCCACTAACATTGGACCCATAGGTCAAATTCAGCTAGATTGGGCAGAGTGGTAGGGGACTGCAGAATTATGGTTCCCTACAAGTCTCATAAGTTTGGTATGAGGGGGAAAACCCAGTTAAGAAAAAGGAAGAGGAGAAACAGCAACATGCATCCATCGCTGGCAGACACCTGAGAATCTGCACAGCCACAGCTTTCAGCACAGCACCATGGGAAAATCCTTGACCTCACAGCCAGGATGCATGCACGCTGCCCATCCCTTCTTCCTGGGATGCCCCATGGAGCAGGCTCCCACCTACCAGGTCCACGTTGGAGAAGTAAGCCCAAGCCTTGCAGTCGAATTCCTGCGTGGTGGGTGCCATCTGGGGCAGGACTTTCCAGGTGTACTTCCGAACCTTGCCAGGCTGCACCACCTCTCCCTGTGTTGCATCCTGCATCTCTTCATAGGCTTGCAGGGTGGAGTGGAAGGAGAAGGGCCGTGAGGCCAGGTTCTTGAATGTGACCTGCACCGGAGGGAAGGGAAAGCAAAGGTGCAGCACTGAGAGCGCCCTGGACCCTGGGGTTGGATGCAGCCAGCAGGTGGGAAGGAGGCAGACATGTCCCTGGTACCCAGACCTCCAGCTGGTCCCCATGCAGTGGCCAACCCCTGCTGATCCACAAGCTGTGGCTCTGCAGTGGGACCCCAGTGGAAAGCACATCCTGGTCATGTCAGCAGGATGAGGCCCTCTCTCTGCTCAATGAGAGCAAGGGCAGCTACACTACAGTCTCTGGAGCCCAGAGGTGATGAGTGCACTCTAGTGAAGTTTTCAGTGGAAATCAGGCAACTTCTCCAGGCCTATGAGCCTGGTGAACAGCCTTTCACCTCTTCCTTAGGTGACTGCTGAAGGACCTTTGGAGGTAAGGGAAGCCCAAGCCTGCCCTCAGCTAGAGCACCCAAAGAAGCTGCACTGAACCCTGTTTAGCTCATTGCTCTTTTACAATCCCTTTACCTAAAAGGCTCCTCATGGAGGCAGGGAGCTGCTCAGGCTGTGCTGTTACAGGGCTTGGCTCTGTCTCAGGTCCAGGGCTTTGCATCCAAACACTCTGCTATTCCTGCCAGTCACTGAGGTCACTCTGAACGGAGCCAGCAATGGCAGGGTTTCAGGTTTTGTAGGAGATGGGAACTTTCAACTCACCATGATGACATCTTCGACTTCTGCCCTGACGTATGGTCCAAGGATGCCCAAGTGCTCGTCCAGCTCTCCCCGCAGCACCGGCTGCGTGAAGGAATCATCCATGTACTCTCGGAAAACCACCTTGCGGTACTGCTGGAAAGGCTTCCTCCTGCCACCCCGGGGGTCCCTGCAGGGGGAGGGCAGTTAAAGCAACAGAGCAGAGCCTAGAGCATCCCTGACCCACTTGCAAGGAAGCTCAAGGTTGCTGGAGTCACAAAACTCCCCAGGAGGAGGGAAGGCGCTGGGAGCATCCTTCCCTTAGGCTGCTTGGCTGGGTTGTACATAGACCTGTGATCCTGCCTTCCAGGACATGCCAGCTCCCGCATGAAGCCATGCCATACAGTGCAGGAGGAACACAGGGGGGACAGTCACACTTACATGGCTTTCAGGAAGTGCTGGGGTCTCTGGTTCCTGTATTCCCACATCACCTCCACTGCCGCAATGAAGTATTGCCGTACCTCCCCCTGGAAGGAGCGTGGGTCATGCTCCTCTTCCTCATAGATGTCAAAATCCTCCATGGTCTGCCCTGTGTCACCGTACTCATCATATTCTGGCTTGTCAGCCTTTGCCCTTGAGGGGCTGGAATGGGTCCCGTTGTTCAGAGCCAGTCTCTCCCTATGTCCTGGGCCATGGTTGCTCTTCCCATTTGTGCTGTTGCTTTTTCCATCCTCCCTGGGCTCTCCTAGGCCCTGTCCCTCTCTCTTCCTGGTTTCTCTGAGGACATCTTCCCCACCAAGCTCCTGCCATCGATCCGGACTGGCTTGCACATATTTGGTTGGATCTGTGGTATTGCTATGGTTGTGAGCAGGGCTGCTTGAAGACAGGGAATAGTTCTCTTTGGAGGCTGGTTTCATAGGGATTTCTTCCGGGCTTTCCCCATACGTGCTTTCAGGCACATAGTCCTCTGTGGCATTGGCCTGGGGCTGCTGGTGCTGAGAACTGAACTGACCTGGCTGCTCCACAGAATTGGTCTGCTCCTCCATCTGGCTTCTCCCCTGAGCTTGCTCATTTCCAGGCCCCCCCCAGACAGCACCTCTGCCTGGATGGAGCTCAGCCAAAGCTGGGCTCCCCAAGCTCCCAGCGCGTCCTTCTGCCCCCAGGGTGACCAGATCCCAGTTTGAGGCCAGGTCTGCAGCTTCGGAGCTGCTCGCTGCCATTGCTGCCCTGCTCCCCCCTGCTCCCCATGTAGGGAAGGAGCGCCCGCTGCGCTGAGCCCCCTCACTGCTGCTCTGAACACGGCCATCTGTGCTCAGCCTCCCCTCGGGATGCACCTCATCAGTGCCATCTCCTTGCAGAGCCGGTGGAGCATCCTTGCCTGGCTGTGATCTCCCCTCAACCACGTTTGGTTTGGTATCCAGGCTTTGCTGGGCCACCATCACCTCAGGCAAAGCGTTGCTTGGTGTCAAGGACCTCTTTCTGAAGCAAGTGCTGCTAAAAGGGGAATGAGGTCCACACGCTTCGCTATTCACTGCTGTCTCAGGGGGCTGGCTGGCCACGTCCTGCTCTGTTCTGCTCTCCAGTGACCTGACCTGCCGAGGCAGCCAGGCAGGGCCACTCATGCTTGGGGCTGGAGCTCTGTGTTGCAGAAACTGCTCAGGGCTGCTTAAGAAACCATTTGGGAACTGCCTTGTGTCATTGCCCACGGTGCCCAGCTCAGACAGGGCAGGACTGTCCATCTCTGGCAACTCCTTAGTGGCTGTGGCATCCTGAAACACTGCCTCCAAGACTAATTCATCCCTCTCTTCTGTCATTATATAGCTGGAAGGCTCGAGATCATTGGTTTGTGCAAAGGTGGTTTCTAGATGGTTTGTGCCTTTGGCAAGTTCCCTGGCTTCTTGTTCTGGGCCACTTTTTGCAGGCAAGAAGTTACTCTCCTCTGTGAAGATTGGTTCTTGCACAGGTTTGCTGGGTCCCGGCTCCATGAAAGAATAATTACCCCCTTTGAAAGACCCATGAAAGCCTTGTGAAACCTCTTTGTGAGGTCTTTCTTCCAGCCTGGCATCTAGCTCATTTGATGAATAATTGCTATCCCTGGTGTGACTGCGAACCGCAGCATGAGAAGTCCCGTTGTTCTCTGTCTCGTCTGAAGATGCAGAAGGATTGTCCAGTGTGGAAGAAGAGTTATCATCAGTACTTAAAGCTGGCTCTGCATTGATTGTCTCCTTTGGCTCATCTAGATTCGAGGATATTTTATTAGTCCCTGTTAGTAACCTGTCCTCAGTACTCTGTGAAGATGTGTCTTGGAGTCCCAGATTGTGCTCCAGGTCATTCTCATGAAATGAGCTCCTGTTCTCTTGAAGAAGAGCTTTGTCAACACCAGAAGCAATTGAGTTCCGCAAGCTTGTTGCATGAGTAGTTGTCTTCTGAGGCTCTGCTTCCAGGATCTCTAAGGTACCACCAGGCTGCATCCTTTCCACCGGCTCATGCACCTCAGAGATGTTTGTCACCTTCTTTCCTGCCAGAGCATCTTTTGGAGCTGGCACAGTTTGGTGCAGCCACTGCTGACCTTCTGAGCTCACAGTACCATAGACCCTTCCACTGGCACTCACGGAGTGCTCTCCAAGTGAAGGAGCTCCAAACCCTTCCTCCTGGCTGATCGTTTTTGACGACTCTTCGTCATCTTCCAGAAAGGATTCGTAGGACACCGGCTCGTAGTTTGTCTCTGACAGAGAAGACATAGAAACATCAGATGGGTGTGGGACTGTTCCTAAAAGTGTTGATGTGCCATTGGGAGTGGGATCAGAAATCCTACCGTTGCTCAGGAGGGCCCCGTGGCTGGGTTCTGTCAAGCACAACCTTGGCTTCTCAGTCTCATTTCCGGAAGAGCTGATATTCAGTTCCCTATTCACACATGGCCTGTGCCATCTCTTTCTTTTAGAGAAGCCCCTGGGTTGGAAGTCATAGGCATAGGCATCCTCCTCCTCAAAATCCACATAATCTTCCCCATCAGGGTATTGCTCCTGCTGGCACTGCGAGACTGTGAACTTGGCACGCATCCCTCGGTCTCTGTAGTCAGGATTCAGGCACCCCAGCATCCAGACACCTGTCTCAAGAGGGCAGAAGAGGACACATCAGCCCACCACAGTGGGAAACCAGAAGATGCCTTCCCCATGCGGCCCCCTTGCTAGTGCATCCTATATTCACAGGCAGCCTCCAGTTCATGGCAGTGATTTCATGTTTTCATAATCCCTAGAGCATCTTACAGCTGGACTCACAAGACACCAGGGCTGCTGGCAACGTCAGAGCCACTCCTGACAAGCACCATCAGCAGGGCCCTGAGGACAGACTTGAGACCAGTTAACACACTGAGAACCCACAAAGCCTCCAGCAGCAGGAGCAGTGTAATCACCATAATCCATCTCCAAAGACATGCTGGTGCTGTCAAACGCACCTCTGCCCTACACACCCTTGTCACAGCTCTCCCACTCAAGGAGGGAGGAATGAAAAGGCTGCCTCATGCTCACTGACATCCCCGGCCAACGCTTTTGCTCCCGGCAGCAAGTGCCTCTCCCCCAGGTGCCAGGAGTGGGTGAGGAGTGTGTAACAACCAGGCTCTGACACTGGGGAGAGCCGTCACCTGCTGCTGCCTGCGCTGCTGGGCTGCTCCTGATCAGCAGGCAGAAAGCAGAGCCCAGAGGGATGCACTGTTTGGCTGGGTTGGAGGCAGCTACCTGGGGTATGTAGGAACCCTGTCAGCTTGGCTCAGGGTGCAGTGCTTGTGACCATCATAGCAGTGTTTGCAGCCCCGTGGTAAATCCTGTGTTTCCTCTGTGAGTGAGGAGACGGTTAATGGCACCACTTCTGCAAGTGCTAAGGGAAAAATGGGGAGTGGGGGGAAATAAAACTGAACTCTGAAGCAAACCCCTCTAGGATTTCCCCATGGCTGCGACTTCTGTCCTTGCAAACATGTGGAGATAAACGGGATGCTGTGACCAGTGCCTGAACCCACAAGCAGGGTCAGCACTGCTGCTCCCCTTGCCCTCCAAGCTTGGAGCCAAGGGTGCAGATCCAAGGTCCGCTGTACTTACATTACTGCAGCCAGTTTACTGGCTTATCAGCATGTGTGACCTTAACACACCCCATTAATGAAGTGAAACATGGTCATTTAATTTCTTTGACTTAAGCTTTAGAAGGATTTAATCACTGCTTCTCACTTTTCTGTTCCAGCAGGTTGTGCATCCCTTTGCTCTCAGGGCTGCCAAAATGCAGTTGGGTACCAGAAGTGGCCGGAGGTGCTCATGTATCTCTGCTGGGATGCCAAGCCCATGATTTACAGAATAACCCATTTTACTAACCTGGCTTTTCCAAGCTCATGAAGACTGTTTCTCCAGAAAATGGGAAAAGGGTAAGCACATCCTCAAAGACCATGTTGCGCTTGAATGTGTTTCCAGAGAAGAAGATAGAGAGGAAATCTGCTTGGGCCCCAACACTCAGGACATACCAGTACACAACTTCATGCAGGCAGAGTTTCAGTTCGAGGTTGTCAAACACAAAGCCATTAATAGCTGGAAGAGAGCAGAGGTGAAACATTTTGTCAGGACCTGATTACCCCATGGCTGGTACATGTTCCCTGTTTGTTCCCAAAGGCTTTTCAGGAGGCTCCTGGCTGAGCACTCACTGTGCATCACGTTGGAGGCATAAAACTGGGGGTCCTGGATATCCACGTGGGCTGCGTCAGTGCAGAACCTCCTGATGTTCTCCTCCAGGTACCAGCTGAGGTTCTCATCGAAGACTGAAAACAGCACCAACCTTGTCCTGTCTGACATTATCTGGAAGGCAGAGAGGGAAGCAGCTCTTCCTGGTCTGATCAGAGTGCCTCAGGGCCCAGTGTAGCTGACAGGTCTTAGCCTGGGTGCATGGGGAACATTTACTGCTATTTCACAGGAGATAGGACCGAAGTTTGGAGAGGAGAGAGCATGCAAGGGAGGATGGAGAAGGCAGGGGTATTGGGACTGGTGGGTGGGTTGGAGAGAACAGGACAGACAAATTTGGTTCTACCCAAACCCAAGCTTGTTCAAGGCCAGGCTGGACAGGACCTTGAGCAACCTGGTCTAGTGGGAAACGTCCCTCCCAATGGCAGGGAGGTTGGAACTAGATGATCTTCCAACCCAAACCATTCTATGATGCATCTATGATTCAAATATTTCACTCACTGCAGTTATTCCAGCCTTTCAGCCTGGCCGTTGAAGCTGCAAAGGAAGGACCCACCTGATTTCCCCTCTGGTCCATGGACTTCTTAAAGCAGATCAGGAGAGGCCCAATGAGACCTGAGGCCGTGTCTCGCACTGGGTCGATGGAGCTGTAGTAGAAACGGGTGAGACAGCGAGGATCTGCCTGCGTTGGCCCATCCTCAGTGGTGACTTTCCAGCTGTAGGTGAATGACTGGCCAGGGGGGATAGGAATGTCCTTCACATCCTTATCTGGCAACACACAGCCCAAGGGCAGGTCAGTTAGGTCTGGGTTGCTCCTGCAAGGGCTGATCCTGCTTTTAAAAAGAGCTCAGAAAGGAGGTTTCCTGACCGTACAAGTTGCACAGAAAACTACCCAAACCGATGCCCATCCCAGGATGGTGCACTTGCTAGCATGCACGTGCATGGAGAGTTGATCAGGACCAAGGGAGCCCTTGGGACCAGGTGAACATGGAGAGGCCTATGCCTTTATGAAAGCCCTTGAAACTCCTGCAAACTGGAAGATTTGCCCAGCCTCAGATGAAAAGAAACCCCCTCGAAGCTGTGAGAGGGAGAGTCTGAATCGTAATGAACCCCCCACTTCACAGCAAGGCAAGGGCGAGTCCATGGGATGAGGACTGTAAGCAAGCTGGCAAACACCAGCGTGGTTTTTGCCTCATCAGAAAGTGGAGGCCTCCAGGATGGATGAAACAACACAGTCCCAGCTCCCTGAGTGGGAATGCCCCTTCCTCCAGCCATCACCCAAACCTTTCTTAGAGAGGATTACATGGCACCAAAGGTGACACGGACCAAGGATCATCATCGCTTCCAGGACTCCAGGGCTCAGGCCCTTGGACGGGTGGGTTGGACAACCAGTCTTCCCACAGGCTGCAGGAAGCTCTACTGGCCCAGGAGAATGGCAGTGGCCAAATGATGTCCCAGGTTCCTGTGGTCTGCCTTACCTTGGGAAGGCTTCATGGCGTGGTATGGCTTGACGCTGGTGAGGCCGTGAGGGTAGATGTTGTATGGTCGGCTTGCCAGGTTCCTGAACACGATCTGAAATGAGGACAGGCAGCAGGAATGTCCAGTGGTTTCTGAACAGTGTGAGCCCTCTGATTCCTCAGGGGGAAAACACTGGGATCAGATACCTGCCAGTGTCCAACTGGGAGGAAACCAGACATGTCTGGGACCACAAAGCAGGAGTGAGGATAGAGGAAATAACTCTTTCTCTACCAGTCTACACTGTCCATCTTTCCAGGAGGTGCCCATCTCAGGGAGGGCATATAAATATCAGATTCATTAAAAGGAAAGTCTTCAGTCTCACTTTGCATATGAGACAGAAGGGGTCTGTTAACCCAGGAGGCTTCAGAGGACAAATGCACCAAGTACGTACAACAGTCAACAGCTTCAAAGTACTCCCCATTTCACTGCTTGTAACCCTTCATTTACTTCTCTAAATAGCCCTGTGGCGGTTGCCACAGGCACTACCTTCAGCCTCATGCCCACAACTGCACAAGGAACCCCAGGCAGGAGCAGCAATGTGAAGCTCCTGGAAATCACCCCATTCCTCCTAACACCAAACAAGTCAAGGTGTCAGTAGAGGCACCCGGGGAGACACAAGCGAGTCCCCAGTACTGTATGGTAAGAGCACACAGACGGGGAAGGGCAGAGGATGAGAGAACACTCCCGCCTCAGGGGAAGGTGATGGATGCCATGTGCCATGGATTGATTCACACAGTTCCTACGATGTCTGCAGTGAAGTCAAATCTGAGCCATACCCTGTGAGGCTCTGCTGATCTCACCAAGAGTATTTTAGCTTTAACCTTCAGTAACATCTGCTTTTCTGGTGAACTTTAGACATTACCAAACGTGACAGAGCACCCCAAGGTCTTATGTCAGACCTTAGTCACAAACCAAGTGTTATTAGGAGGAACAGCATCAAGCTTTGAGGTTTCCCTTCCATTTCTTCTTTGTTGAAAGCAATCTCCCTCTTACCTTAAACTGATCTCCAACCTCCCCTTTAATGACGGGCCCCAGAATTCCCTTGTCCAGTTGATCGGACACCTTGCGCTTCTTGAAGGTTGCATCCTCATACTCCACAAACATTACTTTCTTATACCTTGAACCTATCCGATGAGGACCAGTCTCCAGGAACAGGCTTGTCATGTTTCTGCAGGCAAGGAAGGGAAAAGAGCAAACAGACACATGTGGGACATTGTCAGAACAAAAGTCATCATCCAGTCCATCATCCAAGGACCTACACAGCTGTCTGGGGACTAAGAGTGCAAAGCAGGGAAACCAGTTACTGCAGTCACAATATGCATCATGGGGAATATCATTGCAAGTGACCCAGTGCTTCTTTAACGGAGAAAGCTTCAGCTAGGTTGCACAGTAGCAGCCTTGGGCTGAGAATGCCCTGTTTTGGAGGGAAGTGGTGACTGTGAGAGCTGAGAGCATGGCAGGTTGTCCTGTGTCAGGGAACACTCCCAGTGCATGAGCATAAGGCAATAGACATGTGCCTTTTCTTGATCACGCCAGTTCCTTCCCAGGAGTAAGACAAGCCCAAAGGGTCACCAGGCATCGCTGCCTGGTCAGAAGGGGTTGATGCCAGAGGTCTGGGTGGCAGAGAGACAAATGCCCTGGAGGCAAATGCTTCTGCAGGATATTGAGTAAATTGGAGCAAAGCCCAGTCCTGCCTTCCCATGCCCTAGCCAAGCCCATCCTTGTCCTGCATCCGCACTGTTGACATTAATAAGGAAGAACCAAACTGCCCAGGTTGGGCAGAAGGAAAACAAATGTCTATGGAAAAGCAGAAGAGCTGGCAGGGCTGACTTAAGAGCAGCTTCATGGGCACACATCCCCACTCTTACCTGTCCAGGGACACTGGCTTCACAGGGGCATAGTCCCAGTCCATTTCCTCGGCCGCGATGTAGTGAGTCCAGGTCATAGGCTTGTCTTTGGCAGAAGAGCGCACTTGGATCACATGATAAGCTTCTTCATCTTCTTCAGGGTAATCCATGTCCTCTGGCTCATCTGACAGCTTCCCCATCTTCAGCAGGCGCTCCTCCGGACACTCCTCCACCTTCACAAAGGCCTCCATGCCAGCTGGGTGCAGAGAAGCCAGGCAGAAAGGGTCACACTGACACGCCAGCACAGGCGTGCGCTCTCCCAGGCTCTGCTTGAGAGATGTCCTCTCCCCTGCTGTCCCATCAAACAGGCCATCACACACATCAACCTATGCCATGCTCATCACGGGCTACACTGCATGTGGATGTAACCCTATGTGACAGGAGGGGCCGTGGAACTGCAGCACTGCATAAACCCCTGAGCCCAGGCCACCCCTTGCACTTCTTTTCCCCCATGCTCTTGCAGAACAAGGTTACCTTGTTGATGGGATGGTATCTGGCAGAACATCCGAAACCAGCCAGCAGTTCCTGGCATGATCTGGGCTGTGAGATAGGTGGCAGGGGAGATTTCTAGGCTGCTGAGACGGTGGCTTCTCACCAGGAATGTGTGGGCTTCAAAGAAGATGGAGTGAACTTCTGCCCCAGTGCCCAACCCGATGACGTGCCAATTGACCTGCTTCTTAAGGCACAGTGTGAGTCCTGCCAGGAGAGAAGGAAAGCACCTAAGAGTCAGCATTGTGTCCATCCCTTGTCCCCACTCAGAGTCTGACATGTGCCGAGTAGAGCCCCCTGCCTTGCAAGGTGATGGCTTCAAGCTGGAAATGTCATGTATGTACTGTCAGTAAAACAGTCACATTATGCCCCTTACATAGAGCTAGATGTACAGAGTGGATTGACTTTGGCAAGGGCTTTGGGAGGTGTGCTATGGGAGCTCACAGCAGGATGCAGTGGCAAAAGAGGTGGGTGATCCTATAACTAATGGAACTGGAAAAGGGAATCATTTGTCTCATCACAACACTGGCAAGAGTGACACTAAAACACTGGATCTGGGGCACGGCTCCTCAGCAGTAGTTGAAATACCCCAAAAAGGGCAGAGAGAGGTCACTGGGATTACTTGAAGGCTGGAGGAAATTCCTCCTCTTGGAGAGACTCGAGGAGCTCCGTGTGCTTCTGAAATGGGAGAGGGCTGTAAAAATACATTCCTAGGAAGAAATCAGTGTGTGCTGAAGGGCTCTGCAACCTAGCAGGGATGTAAATAACAAGTTCCTGGAAGCTGAAACCAAACCAAGTCAAACAGAGAGTCAAGCACTTATTTTTGGCACTGGAACAGATCCCAAGAGCCCAGGAGGAGACAGGGTGGAGGCTCCATCCTGAGGTCCTCAGCTCTCCATTGCCACCTCTCCATCAGACACCTCTCAGGCTAGCTCCTGCAGACAGGCGGTTGCTGGGTGAAGGGGGATGCCTTCTTGAGGGGAAAGCCACTGTGCAGACACAGCAGCTGACCATGAGGTCTACTCAGCTCCTAAACTCCATCATCCATCGGGACAAGGAATTCAGGGGAATTTTGCCTTTTGTTGGATAACGGCCAGGCCCAGGAGGGAGATTTCAGGGTGCGGTTCAGGCACATTGTTGATGGTAATGACTCTCCTGACAGCGTTTCCCATTTTGCCCTGGGGATTCTCCACACTCAGGCAGCTCCACACCTTCTCCCAGAAAACCATCACAGAATGTCGACTTTTGTCTTCATTGAGACCACGAATGGCCTTTTCTTTTGCTTTCCTGGAGAAAAGGAGGCTGAGGGGAAACCTTGTCGCTCTCTACAACTACCTGAAAGGAGGTTGTAGTGAGATGGGTGTTGGTCTCTTCTCCCAAGTAACAAGTAACAGGACAGAGGAAATGGCCTCAAGCTGCACCAGGGCAGGTTTAGATGGATATTAAAAACAATTTCTTAACTGAAAGGGTTATGAAGCCGTGGAACAGGCTGCCCAGGGCAGTGGTTGAGTCACCATCCCTGGAGATACTTGGAAGATGTGAAGATGTGGCGCTTGGGGATGTGGTTTGGTGGTGAACTTGACAGTGTTCAGTTAACGGCCGGATCCAATGATCTTAAGGGTCTTTTCCAACCTAAATGATTCTATGATTCTATTCCCCTTCTACACCTTCAACAGAGGTGCGTTGTCAGACCCAGGTGAGTGAGAGCTGAACTTTGCCCTCAGCACTACCTCCATCCTCATTCATAGGGCTGCAAGAGATGAAACTCTTTGCTGCCAGCACAGGCAGACAGAAACAGGTCCTGTCCCAGCGTAAATGGGCAAGGCAGAGCAAGATGTTGAGATGTGATAGTCCCTCTGGGGGAATACAGCCTAACGGATCCATCACCTGCAATCTCCTCTTGATGTACTCACCAGGCAGTGAGCCATTGATGTAGCCATTGATGGTGTGCAGCTCTGTCCTGTTGTGAGGCACGGGCTGAGGAGCTGCTGAGGAGCTGGGCTCGGAGTACCAGCTTTTCCCTGTGGAGAGAGAAGCTTGCAGTCAGCTTTCACTTGAGAGTACTTCAAAGAAAAAGGAAACCTTCCCACTGGGCTAAAACAGGATGAAAGCCAAATTCCAGGGAGGTCAGATGTGTGGTGCCTGTTGGAAATCCACAGCAGTCCTGGCCATGGCTCTGCATGAATGTGGTGGTGACTACTGCATGTGACAGGGCATTACTCCACATCATTTTAGCCCGTGTGATGGGAACAAGGCCAGAAGAGCTGGAGAGGCTGCAAGCTCCCTTGCACCTCACAGGGGGAACAGAAGGAATGGCAGTACTGCACTAGGAGTGCATTGCCTCTGGGGACTGTACAAGGCTTGGGACGCAGAGTGGAAGCTCAGTTGTGCTCACACCACAGCCAAAGCATGTGCCATGGACCGGGCTGAATTCAGAGTCCAACACCACTCAACAGGGTAGTTACCTTCATCAAACACTGCAAAGAGCATCACAAACTCTTGATGCGAGTCCTCGTTCCCACCGCTTGCCAGGGTCCCTGCAAGATGCCACAGGATAGCTCTCTTTAAAGGTTAGAAAACATCATCTCCTGGGGGGATTCCCTTTGTGCCCTCCAAGAACTGGTAAGTCAAGGCCAGGCTGTGCTTTGTTTTTACCACATCTCATGACTGCCACAGCCCTGTTTCCAGCCTCCCAGTCCCCAAAAGCCCATGGTTGAGAGACAGCTGCCCCCAGAAGGCATCGAAAGGTCAGTTTGCGCTGCCTCCCCCTTGAAGGCTCTAAGGATCCACTTAGTCACCTGGAAGAGCCCATTTTACTCAGCCCCCTCATCAACACTATTGTCTGCACTCCTTGTCTAGACTTGGTGGAGAAACTGCTCTTGGTGAGTCACTGGAGCCTGCAGAGAGTGATCTGGGAGGAGGTGACTCGTGCCCATTCCTCTCCAGTGACTACAGAGGGATCTGGACAGCTACAGCTACTGGAGATGGCTCAACCAGGGGTGACCAGTCCCACTCCAGGTACACTTCTTGGTGCCTTGCACCCAGCAAGTATTAACAGTCAGGATTTCATCACCTCAATGTTTACCAAAGGAAGGAGAGCAGGCACAGGTAATGCAGACCAGGCAGTGCCCCACGTGTCCTGCCTCTGCTGCCTGATCCTTACTTAATCCTTGCTGATACAAACTTCCCTCTATTTCCTCCAATGAGACCCTGTTTGACAAACACCCTGGCTGACCCTGAACAATCAAAGCTCGGTGAAGGAAAGACAAACACTTATGTCTCCATCATGGTTCTATAAAGACAAACAAGGTTTGAGATTTCATCTGTGGCCTGAAATCTTGCAAAGGAAAGAAGCAACCAGTTTTTTTCCAGCAGGGAAGTCCAAAGTGTGTTTGAACCCTTCACTGGGGTGAACCCTTCATGGGGACTCTTTGAGGAAAGGCCCAAACCCCCAAAGTGCTGCTGTTGACCCCAAAAGTGTTGTTGTTGACCACAGCTTACTGACTCCACTGCCTTATGCAGCCTCTGGAAGGCAGCTTTATCTGCTTTTCAACCCACCATTGCATGTAACCTCTCCCCATTCCAAGCAGTCCTTACCAGGTCGGCACACAAGCAGGGCTCCAATCAAACCAGAGTTGATGTCCTTCACACTGTCGGTGTTGGAGGAGTAGGAGTGGGTCAGACATGATGAGTCGCCATCCGTCGGGCCCTGGTTTTGAGGGATCTCCCAGACATACGTGTGTGTCTTCCCTGGATCCACCCTGTCACCCTCCTTCTCTGGCTGGCTGGTCTCATCCTCATACCCTGCACCTAAAGAACAGCCAGATGTGACTGAAGGTGAAGGTGGCAATACACGGTGTCTAAGCCATCTCTGCAACTGCCTGTCATTGTAGGAGGGATGCAAATAGCAGGATCATGGAGGGACACGCTCCCTCCTGGCAGGAGGGTGGCAGAGCAGGAGGTGATGCTCAAGGGCTTGCAGCACTTGGCTATTGCCCAACTCACCCTCCGATGCCTTCCAGTAGGACACCCCGACAGCGTGGAGGTTGTAGGGGCGCGAGGCCAGGTTCTTAAACGTGATGACCACCACATCATAGACTTCTGCTTGGATGGTGGGGCCCAGGAGACCTGAACAGGGCGAGACAACAGGGTCAGGCTGATGGGGTCAGGCAGCTCACACCCAGCCACGGGCCCCAAAGGGTCTGGGCTTTCCACCTTCACCATCAGCAGTTGTCCCTCATGTAGCATGGCACCAGCAAGGCTCCCTGCGTCCATCACAGCAGCTCTGCTGTACTGGGACTCTACCAAAGCACTTTCCCATTGCTGGCTGAGAAACTGCCAGCACCCAACCCAATGAGTTTGGCCACTGTCACGGAGGGCCAGGGCTCACCGTGCTGCAAGTGCTTCTTACCCATCCATGCTGGCTTGGGCTTGGGCTGCGTGAACGAGGCATCAGGGTACTCCACAAACACAGCCTTCCTGTACTGGGGAGGGACACCAGGCAGGGGGGGCTGTGGGCCCGGGTGCCCTGACACACTGCAGGAGGAAGGAAAAGTCAAGGCTGACTGTGCAGCCCCATCCATGGATGGGCAGCAGCCATCCTCTTCCTCCCCTCCCTGTCTTTGGCATGCTGGCCCCGGCATTGCTCACCCTGTTGTGTCCTTTGGGTATCCTGACAATCTCCAGGTGTGTTTGGAAACGTTTGCTCAGCTCACCCATGACAACATGGCAGCGATTGGTGTCATGGTGTTAGTCATGATGGAAGCAGACACAGGGGCAGGAGGCACAGCATCATAGCCAGCTGTGCTTGGAGGCACAGCTGCAGGTATCACTGCCAGCCTCCTGCCTCCTGCCTTGTCTGGCTCTGTGCTTCCCTGTTGGCACAGACCTGAAGCTCTGGAAGTGCTGCCATAGCAGTACCATAGAGGTCTCTGTCCTGCAGCGCTCATCCCCATCCCCTTCAGGTGTGGCAGACACATCACATCATCTATCTATCATCTATCTATCTATCTATCTATCTATCTATCTATCTATCTATCTATCTATCTATCTATCTATCTATCTGTCTGTCTGTCTATCTATCATCACCTCAAACATCCTCCCCAGCTCCCCCCAGGAAATAGACTTGTGTGGGACTCCAAAGCAGGGTTGCAGCAGTTTGCTCTGCAGTCTGAGCAATGTCCCCACATTCGTTTCTTTTCTGGCCAGCCTGGGATTTACAGCCAACCCCTAAAAACTATTCCTTGCAGCAAGAGGATGAAGGAGCCTCAAATGTATTTCACACCCCACTTATCTCTGCTGGCCACTTTCTATCTGTAAGTGGCTTAACAAATTCATTTTCCAGAAGAAATCCAGCACTTTTACTAATATAACAAAGTCATGAATTTCTCCAGGGAGTTTAGAGGCTGACTTTTGAGCCTCAGGGCTGAGACCATTTCCAGTAACCATACAGACCACTTCCAGCATCGTTTTGTTTGGAGCAAAAGCCAGGTGGTATTTTCATTCCTCTGAAGGAGCAGGGAGCATTGCTCTGCCCTCTGATTAAGCCTTCATTCAAGCAGTGTTTCCCTTTGTAACTCCTCCTCAAGAGGAAGAGGAAGGAGACGGAGTGACTCAAATTTAGGAGGGGGTGACACACACTTGCCCCCACGCTGCCAGCTGGAAGCCACCTGCAGCCGGAGGATGCTGTAGAGAGAGTGGGCTTCACCCTCCCAGGGGGCAGAGCAGGACGTGCCCCCACCTCTTGCCTTTCCCACCCTATCTATAACCCCACACTTGGGCTGGCAGGAAGCCCCAAGCAGATGTGGGGCCACTGCCTTTGCCTAGGAGCCGTTATCATTCATAGCTGGATGACAGTAGTCTGGACCAAGCTTTGCTCTCCAGGGTGAGAAGGCAGAAATCCTCTGGAGCCAGGGGGATTTTGCTGGCACGTGGGACATGGTTGGGAGAAGACTTGGTGACACCAGGGCTCAGCACTGGGTCCCAGCTAGCACAACATAGCCTGACAGCTTTTGCAGGGGACAAGGAGCCAGAGTTCCGTGCGGGGACGTCTGATTCAAGTCCTTCTGGCCAGTCCTCTGCACTTGGGGTCCCCCCAGACTTCCTACCCCGAGGGCAGCTGAAGCCAAGGCAGGGAGGTAAGTTCCTGGCGCCTTCAATCAGCATTGTTAGCAGCACTATCTGTTCATCTCTCAGAGCCAGGAGACAGCCAAGGTAAACACCCTGCGCTGCTCAAGCACTCAAACACAGGCTGCTGCTACGTGGTCACCAGCTCCGAGCCAGAGCTGAGATCCCTGGAGCCATTGCAGGATGTGCTGGTCCCGGCTCTGACCCTGCCGGCAGGGTTGGGTTTGGGAGGAAGAGAAACTGAACTCGTGGGAAGGTGTCAGCAGCTCTGGGCTGGTGTGTCTGTGCCCATTCATTTGGCAGGGCTTTCCACAACTGTGCCAGAGAAACCACTGGATACGTACAGGGGGGTTGGAGGTCCTGCCTGGATGTGCACCCGTGGGACTGCCAGGAGATGCTGGTACCACAAGGGAGAACACGCACAGCTCAGAGGGAGCCCAGCTCTGCTCCTGCCACCCTCCCCTGGATCACTTCTTCTCCCCAGCCTGGCTGTTTTCCTGTGCCCTCCTCATGCTAGGGGAACCAGGCGGAGGCTGCAGAAGCCAGGGGAAGGGCACTGACATCCAGCTGGGAACAGCTACAGCAGCAAGCCCCTGTTCACAGCAGTGCTCCCCAGGGAGCCGCACTGCCCAGGCGTGCCCAGGTTGGAGCATGTCACTGAGCCCCTCTGAGAAAGCCAGAGTTCTCTTTCTAGAGAAGAACAAGTGACCTCAGGCTGCCTGGTGATGCCCTGCTCGCCCCCGGGGCAGAGACAGGTCCCTGAGTCACTCCTGGGTCAGAAACCGCGAGCAAGCACATCATTAAATCAGTGCTGAAATGAAAAGCCACAGGCGTGAATTAGCAGGAGTGACCTCACCTCCAGTGTAGGTTAATGGATCTAAGTGCCACGTTAGTAAAAGCAGGGCAAAGGGGGCATTAGTAAAGCTTGCTGGATGCAGTCTTTCTGCCGGTAGCCAAAGAGGAATAAACCAAGGTAAGTGATTCCAGCAGCGAGTCAGGCTGACCTGGCCATCACCAGAGCCTGCCTTCCAGTGCCTGGCCACAGCTCCTCACTGCCTGAGACAGTGTGGGTCCCTGGGCAGGGGTCAGAACAGCCCTTTCACAGCCATGTGTGTCCAAGCCAGCTGTGTCTCCAGGTAACACCCTCCTGATGCCTCAGCAATGTAACTGCCACTTTTCATTCTTACTCCAAGGTATTTGGGCAAATCCATCACATGCTCTAATCCCTCTTGTCACTGTGCACAAACTGTGCACCGTTCTTTGCCCAAACACTAAAAAATTCCCTAAAGGGAGAACTTCAGGCCCAGCAATGTAATATATACAAAGATATAAATAACTAAAGCTGGGGTTTACTAGGGACAAGCACAGCGGGGAGCTTTGCTGCTCTGAGTTATGTCAGGAGGCACAGTCAACCTTCCTGCGCAACCCCCAGGCAGGGAGGCACCATACCCCCATCTCCCCTCGCATCCCCCCAAAGCTCCCAGGATGCAAGCAGAAGGGAAAGCACAGGCTGGAGAACCAGCTCTTGGCTCCAGGCACAGACTTGAAAGGGTCACAGGCAAATGACATTAAGATCAAGCAGTGCAGAGTAGTAGCGCAGAATAAGTCTTTGTCTCTCTCTGCATGTTTATTCCATATTGCATTACTAGGGGTTGCTCTTAGTGACTCCCCATTGCACAGAAACACCCATTCCCACCTGTACCAACAGCTCAGTGACCCCCCCCAGGCTGCCCCCATGCACCATCCTGGACCCAAGCTCACAGTGCTGTGTATGCAGGGTGGGAGAGCACCTATAGCAGGGATCTGGAATTGCCATAGAAAGAGTTTTACCCTGCAGGCGCTTGCAGCACGGAGAGCAGGTCGCTGTGCATGTAGTCCCAGGCAGTTTCCACGGCAGCAATGTAGTATCTTCTGACTCTGCTGATGCCCTCCTCAACCAGGCAGAGGAACAGGAGGCTGCGCAGGGCTCCCATCAGCATCATGCCTGCTGGCTGGGAACCGCTCTGGCTTCAGGGGGAGAAGTGAAAAGGAAGAAATGAGAAAAGCAAGAGGAGAGAAAAGCCTTTATCTTCTCATCCAGCTGCTGTAATCCAGAGGAGATGATGATGATTTAAAGCCAACACCTACAGGCACAGTCAGAGCGCTGGAGAATTGCTCAAAGACATTAGGAGCGGGTTAGTGCGAAGAGAAGCGTGCGAGCCATGGACTCCCCCTCTTCCCCTGGGGTGGCAGTGACAGGAGGAGAGGAAAAAACAAAAGGAAAGGGAGGGCAGTGCAGCAGTAAGTGCCACTGCAGGACCCGGCGTCCTGGCTCGTGTCCTGGCCCGTGTCTGTGTCCAGGAGTGAGGTGAGGAAAGGGAGGGTTGCAGAGGAAGTGGAATTTAGGTGCGGTCTCTGCCTGGTCCCACCTTCCCTCTCACTGAAGAGGGGACGAAAAGCAGGTTGCAGGCCAGCACCATGCTGCTGCCCAGGCTACAAGAGCCCTCATTACCCCTGCAGGTCTGACTGGGCTTGTACCCGGGGCTGGAGCCACCTTCCTAACCTGTCAGCCTGCATAGCTTGAGGAAATGGAGACTTAGGGGGAAATTTGCCTTCAGGGTGCAGCTTCTTTATTGCTGAGAAGCAGGAGAAGCTGCCCCATACCCCCCAGCACTGGGAGCCTGAAGGGACAGGGCTGGAGGTGAGGAAATAGCCAGGGATGGATGCATGAACATATGAGAGGTGTATCCCTGTCCCCTGGGTGCCTGTGCCCCCAAGCAGTGATGGTATAGCCACACAACTTTGCTTTGAGCCACATGGGAGGGAGAGGGTTGGGGTGATCCCTGGGTGTCCTCCTCCTACCTATTGTTCCTCACCCTTTTCCTCTTCTCCGGGGGTCCTGCAGCACAGCTCAGAGAAGATGCCCTGGAACGTTTGCACCAATGCCTTCTGTTCCAAACTCACACGTTTTCAATAGCCCTTTTTAAAAGCCCAAGAAATCTCCTCCCCCTGCCCCCCAAAACGCACACACGTGCTGATGCACACACGCCAGCACGCGGCTCTCCTTCGGCTCACGAAGGCAGGAAGATGAAGAGGAACGCCCTGCGTGGTCTCGGCGTCTGCTGGGCGAGCAGCGCAGGGAAATGGCCCATAAATCATGCTGTAGGGCAGCAAGAGTGCAACAGGGGCAGTGACCCCTCTGGTGACAGTCCCAGTGTGTGCAGAAGCATCCATGTCGCAGGGTTTGGTGCCTGAGTGACGGAGGGAGGCAGTGGGGATGGTGGAGGGATGGGTGTTTTGGGATCCCAAATGTGAATCCTTACTGTGGAGCAGGTGGAACTGGTAGGCAATGGGACAGCACACAGGAGCCGAGACCCTTGGGTAGAGGTAATCCCAGTGGATGTGGGAACACATTCCCCAACGTCCCACTGCCCCATGTAGCCCAGCACAGCCCTGGACTGACCCTGAGCATCCCCGTCCCATGGGCTCATTGTGCAGGAGCACCCCATGTCCATAGGCTCTTAGAGAGGGGCCAGTTCTCACCACCTCACTGAGGACACCCCCTCTCTTTCCACCCCTCTCCTTACTGCAGCCCCAGGCCCAAGGGAGAAAACCATCCCAGGCAGCTGGGTCTGGCCACGGCACAGCAAGGAGCACGCAGCGGGACTTCCCCTCAGTCCTTGTAAAACCCCAGCCCACTGAGGGGCTGCCCACTCCTTCCTGCAGTCACCGAGGGGCTGACACAGCAGGAACCGGGGCAAAAAGTGCTTCCCCCCCCCCCAGGAGAGGCAAAGAGCCAGTGAGAAACACATTTCCTCCTGCTTGTACCCTGGCTGCTGGCTCTGTGACCAGCCTGGGGCTCCCTTTCTGTGTGAGGAAGATGAGCAACAACCTGTCCTTCATGTTCCAGTAATTATTTTGGGGCAAAACAAGCAGTAGGTCACACGTGGGGGGGATGCCCTGCCTGCTCTGCATCACTTTGTCCTGGTGAGGTGAAGTGAAAGGATATTGTTGAGGGCTGGAGGGGAAAGGTTGTCCGGAGGTCTGGGAGACACATGGGAGATCAGGGATGGGCTTCTGGCACCAGTGTCCTCTGCAGTATGGACGTGACTTTATTCCAGTCATGGTGCCTGGGAATCTCCCTGTGCTGTGAGACCGTGCTCACCCGGAAAGGCTGGAAAAGGTGTCTCTTCCAGAAAGGAGCACATGGGGAAAACGTGGCCAAGCAAACAGTGTGACCATGAAGGGAGCAGTGCGGGGGATGGCAGTTCAGGATGGCCTTGTGGGAGGGTTGGCGTTGGTTGTCAGGAAGGGTGCTCCAGGTCTGGGTGCAGCACAGAGGCTTCTTGCCTGTAACGGTGGCAGGGATGCTCCAGGCACTATGCGGTAACAACATCCGGGGTCACGGAGGGCAGTCAGGCATTCCATTGGGGGCTGCAGTGACAGAAGCCTGGGCACAGTCACAGCTGATGGCTGTGATACTGGTAGGTGCTCGGTTGCTGGGTTTGACCATTTTCAGGTACTGGGAGGCAGCTCCCGGCTCCTAACCCAGAGACATAAGAGATGGGACCCTAATGAGCAGAACCCCCCATATTATTAAGATACTCAAGGCTGTGGGAAGGGAAATTCAATGTGAAACAGAACACTTGGAGGTAACTTGGGCAGGGGGCTCGGCTCTCATCTCTTGCTGCGCACAGTGGGGAGCTTTGTGCAGGCACACGAGAGCCAGGGCAGAGAGAAGCGTGCTGAGAACAACCAGGAATCTGCATGGAGCCCGCTCCCAGCCGGCAGAGCCTGCTAAACTGGAGCCCACGTTCCCAGAGGGATGACACTGCCAGCGCTGGCACTTCCTGGGCTCTGCAAACCCCTGCGGGTGCCACTGCAAAGCATGAGCATCGCCCCACAGAAAGCTGAGCTGTGCCTTTGCGAGACCTATGGAGAGGCACCGGCGTTCCAGCCCTGCCCGCAGCGAGGCGCAGCCTGAGCACACCTGCCTGCTCCCAAACCTCCCCTTGAGACAGCGCCAGGGCACCGTCCTCCCGTGCAAACACGGTGGGGAAGCCGGCACGCACTCCTGCCCCCGACAGCCCCAGAGAACCCTGCTTGGCCAGAGCCAAGGCCCCACGTGCACGCCGACAGCACTGGCTGTTTCCCAGAACTCAGTACGGTGATGGGGCAGATAAAGATGACTCAGAGCAAAGCGAGCCATGTTTAATCTTCTGGGACTTTTTCTGTGTGTATGTGAGAGCAAGTGACTCATGGCAGCTTCTCCGGAATGCAGAGTATCTCAGAAGCAGCAGCCACCCATAGAATCATAGAATCATGAATGGTTTGGATTGGAAAGGACCTTAAGATCATCCAGTTCCAACCCCTGCCATGGGCAGGGACACCTCACACTAAACCATGTCGCCCAAGGCTCTGTCCAACCTGGCCTTGAACACTGCCAGGGATGGAACATATATCACTTCTTTGGGCAACCCACACCAGTGCCTCACCACCCTCACAGTAAAGATCTTCTTGCTTATACCTGAACCTGAACTTCCCCTGGTTCAGTTTAAACCCACCACCCCTTGTCCTGTCACTACAATCCCTGATGAAGAGTCCTTCTCCAGCCTCTTCCCAGCACTTGCATGGGCAGAGAGCACCAAAACTGCCCGTGCTGTGTGGCACTGGCAATCCAAGGGAAACGACCAAGAGCCCATCCCTGCTCTTCCACAGACATGCCCTGGGTAAGTCCCCTCCTCATGGGCTTGCCACGCTTCATCCCTATGCCGCTGGGCACAAACTGCCGGCTGGCTCTGCCCAGGCTGCCAGCCATTCCCACCTGGATGATGCCACGTTCACTCATTGCACCAAATGCCACAGGAAATCCCTGGCACCTCTTAAGCACCTCCCTGCACATGCAAGAGTTGAACAAGAAAATTATGGAGCATCCAGGAATTGTTAATCACTTTCTATATAGCTTTTTTATTTATTCACTTTTATTTATATTCACTTTTTTATACAGGGGAAACTGCTGCAGGGAGCAGCAGGACTTGCCCATGGCCACCTGCAAGGCAGCAGCAAGCCAGGAAGAGAGAATCTGTATGGTCTGAGTAGCCACTAAGTATCACTTCCCATGCTCCAGACTGGCTGCATCCATTCGTGGTTCAAAATCAGTGCTTCACGGCAGGAGGGATGGCTCGAGGGGCAGCCAGGGGCTTACTCCTGCTCTAAGCACAGCGCTGTGGCTGCTCAGCCTGCCTCTTGTTCCCTTAGCCCAGCCGGTAGGAATCCCAGCTGCTGGCAGGAGGGAGCAGAAAGCCCCTTCCTTTGTGGTGGGGGAGAGCTGGCCTGCGCTAAAAGGTCCCTATAGCATCCGGGGGGGAGCGAAGGAGAAGGGCTGTCACCCGCACCCATAGCGGCACGAAGGGCTGGAGCCCGAGTTTGTTTCATTTCCAGAACATGAGAAAAGATTGAGAGAGACAGCAGCAGGGAGAGAAACCCCGCTAAAAATCCCTGTGCTCCTGCTTTGACAGGGCTGAGCTGCACATCATTTCCTTCCTGCAAGCTGCAGCGTGCCCCCAGCCAGCAGCCAGCCGGGGCTGTCCCTGCGTGGCTGCGTGACACCAGCGCAGATGTCCCAGCACGGGAAGGGGAATTCAGACTCTGCTTCTTGCTGTACTAAAAGCAGTGACACGGTGGTGGCCCCAGCAGAGCACAGGGCCACGAGGCTGGCAGCATCGGAGCCGCATCACGCTGATAGCAGCTTGGGAGCATCAGGACGCTGCAGCCTTCCAGGTCCCTGCGCACCCGGGACACATTTCCTATCTGGTGGAGATGGACAGGTATGGTGCCTCTCTGAGGTGCACAGAGGGGCATCGTGGGTCCATTTACAGAGCATTTTGGGGGAGGTCTACAAGCAGGTACTGGCCAGGGGGTATGGTTTTGGTGACTGCGTTATTGCCCAGTACTGCTTGCCCCTGACCACAGGCTGGGAGGCAGTGGTGGTGCCAGGAGGGAGGGGAACCCTTTGAGATGGGGAGTGGCTGCTCTTGCTTGTGTCTCCTGAGCTGAACAGGGCTGCTGGCCAGGAAGGTGCCTTGCAAGAAGCCCCAGTGGTTGTGGGGTGCTGAGGTGGATTGCTGGGCCCCACTGCCGTGCCCACCAGCCCCTGTGCCACCCTATAAAGGCAGAGGCAAGCTGGCCCTGACCCTGCTGCACAGGAGCCCCCAGACCTGCAGCTTTACATCAGCCCAGCTCCTCTCCCACCATGAGAGGAAGCTGCCCTGGGTGATGGCACACGTGTGCTGGCAAAGATGGGACCATATTGCAGATGCTCAGGCCAGCGGATGCCTTTGGGACCATGTGTGTAGGGAACACCCCAGCTAGCACCAAGGAG